GAATCTAAATTTTTTCCCAACTTAAAACCATTGCTGCGAGTCCTGTCTAAGGCTAGATATTTTCAGCACACTATTTACATCCCCTTTATTTATTCCTGTCTTCATTTATACACCTCAATCATATCCCCCTAATTCTACGTTCTTTCTAGAGAGGGGCAGTTTCAGGGCCCTTAGTCTATCCTCATAGGGAAGTTTCTGATACATGGGATCAACTTTGTCATCCTCCTTTGTACATTTTCCAGAGAATTTATATCCATTCTTTTAATACGGTGACCAAAACTGTGCAGCTAATCTAAATGAGGCCTAACCAAGGATGTATAGAGTTGAAGAACAACCTGAGGACTCCTATTATTTATGCTTCTTGATATGAAGCCAAGGATTCTATTAGCTTTATTGCGAACACTTATGCACTGTTGTCTTGGTTTCAGATTACTGCTAACCAGAACTCCTAAATCTTTTTCGCAATCCGTAATATTAAGATCTACATTATTTAGTTTATATGTGGCATGGTTATTGTCCTGTCCAACATTTAGAACTTTGCATTTGTCAAATATTAAACTGCATCTGCCACTTCTCCGACCACTGCATCAGTCTATTCAAATCTTCCTGGAGTGCTCGAATGTCCTCGTCAGAATGAATTCGACGGCCTATTTTGGTGTCATCGGCAAACTTGCCGATGTCGCTCTTTATGCCCTCATCTATGTCTTTTTATGTAGATTGTGAACAGCAGGGGGCCCAACACTGACCCCTGTGGAACACCGCTCGTGACGCTTCCCCACTCTGATTTCTCCCATTTATGCAAACTCTCTGCTGCCTATTTGTCAACCATGCCTCTATCCAGGAAAATAATTTCTCCTCCTATTCCATGTGCTTTTAATTTTCCAATAGTCTCTGATGTGGGACCCTGTCAAAAGCCTTACTGAAGTCCATATACACAATATCATATTCATTACCATGATCTACCTCCTCAAATACCTTAGTGAAAAAAGTTAATAAATTCGTAAGGCAGGAACGCCCCTTTGTAAAACCATGCTGAGATTCGTTGATTAATTTATGCTTTTCAAGGTGGCTACGAACTGCCTCGGCAATTATTGATTCCATAAATTTTCCCACTATGGAGGTTAGGCTTATTGGTCTATAGTTCGAAGCTAAGGACCTGTCACCTGTTTTGAAAATAGGTATCACATTTCCCCATTTTCCACTATCTGGCACCATGCCAGTTTGTAGTGAATGTTGAAAAGATTAGCCAAAGTGTGCTAAGCTCCTCTTTACATTCCTTTAGAACCCTTGCATACAGTTCATCAGGGCCTGGGGATTTGTTAGGTTTTAATTTATCCATTTGCCTAAGGACCATGTCACTTGTTGACCCTAATAGTGCACAGTTTATTATCGTCCTGTTCTACATAATTTATCATTACTGGAATATCGCTGGTATCCTCCTGTGTAAAAACTGAGAGGAAGTATGTGTTAAAAATTCTACACATTTCCTTATCACTGTCAGTGAGCTGACCCGAGAACTTTTGAGTGGGCCTATCTTGTCCCTGATCTTTCTTCTGTATACCTGAAAGAATCCTTTTGGGTTAGTCTTCGATTCTCTTGCAACTTTAACCTCATAATCTCTTTTTGCTTTTTCTAATTCCCTTTTTTATTTCTCTCTTTAACTGAATATATCGATTTCTCAATTGCCCCTCTCCTCTTTTGATTTGCCTATATATGCCTCTCTTTTGACAATCAGATATTTTAATCTATTGTTCATCCATTTAGGATCATTTTGTTTGATCTGATTTCCCTATTTGGAACATAAATTTGACTGAGCAGCTAGAACTATGCCCTGGAAAGCATCATATCGGCAACCATCACCACCTACCTGACCCTTAGTCAGGTCATTCCAGTTCAGCCCACCTAAGTAATTTTTCAGTCCTATGAAATCAGCCAAGCGAAAGTCAGGGACGGAGACTTGATTGCCATTATTAGGGGAATTCCATGATATATTAAAACTGAGTGATTTGTGATCACTTTCCCCAAGCTCATCATTAACCTCAAGATTATTAATTAGTGTTTCCCTACTGGCAAGAACCAAGTCAAGGAGGTTATTACCCCTAGTTGGCTCTGTCACAAACTGTTTTAAAAAACAATCCTGGATCGTATCAAGAAAGTCACCTGACTCTAAATTTCCTGTCAAATTGCTCCAGTCAATCTGTCTATAGTTGAAATCTCCCATTAGCACACATTTTCGTATGTAGATGCCTTACGAATTTCGTCCCATAGAAGTTTACTGCACTCCCTATCAAGATTTGGGGCCCTGTAAATCACACCCAAAATAGTGTTTTTCTCGGCCTCGAGAAGCTGTAACCAAACAGATTCAGTGGCTGACGCTTCTAATTTAATATCTTGTCTAACACAACAATTTAAATTGTCTCTGACATACATCGCTACTCCACCACCTTTCCCGTTGACCCTGTCAGTGTGGAATAATTTATAGCCTTGTATGTGACATTCAGAGGGCATCTCTCTATCTTTCAGATTAAGCCAGGTCTCTGTTATAGCAATAATATCTAGTTTCCTGCACTTGCAATTAATCTTAGCTCATCTATCTTATTTCTTACACTCCTGCTATTAGTATAGTAAACCTTAAGGGAGCTAGTCCCTTGCTGCCCTCTGCTGTTTCCCCCTTTGTTTGCTGACCTGATCTATTGTCTTATTTATAACTTCATGCTGAATGCCTTTTATACATTTACTGTTTCCAACCAAGTGTTTGCAACCTGCTTGTTTCCCACACACACCCATACTCTATCTTCCATCAGTTTAAAATCATAGGCATTTCACCAATGGCCTTCTCAATCGAGTCTGCAAGTGCTACCACCCCAGCCCCAGAGAGATGTACCCCATCCCTTGCATACATATCATGTTTGCCATAAAAGTTGTTCCAGTTGTCAATGAATGGGATTGCAAGTTCCTTGCAGTATCTGTCTAGCCAGCAATTTACACCAATTGCCCTAGACAACCATTCATTTCCTACTCCCCTTCTAGGCAAGATGCTACATATGATTGGGATCCCTCCCTTAGACTTAATGAAATCTATAGCTGACCTGTAAATTATCTAGCAGCTCTTCTCTCCTACCCTTCCCAATATCATTTCCACCAGCACTGAGACAGATAATGGGCTTGTTCCCATTACCTGACGTGATATTATCCAGCCTGTTGACAATGTCCCCAACACCAGCTCCAGGGAAAGCACACTCTGTCTCTCATCTTCTTATTCCTATTACAAAAAGCACGGTCAATATATCTTACCTGAGAGTCACCAAACCCCAAGAATGCGCTTACCTCCATAGCAGGGGCAGTAGTACCCTTACCTTCACTGGCCACTGAAGTACATTCATCCTGAAGAACAGAGAAGCGATTTCCTACCTTCAGATCTTCACTCTTAACTTTCCTTACTCTGATGCGCCTCCATTACTGTGAACCACTCGCCACTTGTAGCAGGTGCTGGACTGCACCTCACTGCTGGTAGCCGTTGCTACCTCCCCAGCTACAGCCTCCTCACAGCGAGAGACAGACTGCACCTCACTGCTAGAAGCCTCATTCCCCACAACTCCAGCCACCTCACACTCTCTCCCAGACCCATTGAGGTGGACCTTCAGCCTCCTAATCTCCTCCTGGAGAAGCAAGACCTCCTCCTTCAACTCTCCAACCTCAATTTTTAAAACACTGCAGAAGCAAGCCATGCTTTGTAACCGTCCACACTAATCCCCAAAGCAGCTCAGGGTCTGTGACCACAATACACTCAGCACCCCACAACACTGCTGACCTTCACAATACACTCAGCACCCCACAACACTGCTGACCTTCACAATACACCCAGCACACCACAACACTGCTGACCACAATACACTCAGCACCCCACAACACTGCTGACCTTCACAATACACTCAGCACCCCACAACACTGCTGACCTTCACAATACACTCAGCACCCCACAACACTGCTGACCTTCACAATACACTCAGCACACCACAACACTGCTGACCACAATACACTCAGCACACCACAACACTGCTGACCTTCACAATACACTCAGCACACCACAACACTGCTGACCTTCACCAGTATAAACAAATGTCCCAATAAATTGTCACTCTACTGAACACTTGTTGGCTGCTGCACTTCCTTTAAAGTGTCACTCTAGTGAGCACATGTTTGGGGGAGGAGGAGAGTGCACTTTCCACTGTCAACACTTTCACGAACACTCATGTCGGGTAAAAGATGTTCTCATTAATTTATATTATATTATATATATATTTAATATATATATATATTTTATATATATTATATATATATATATATATTTTATATATATATATATATATATATAATAGAAAAAGCCGCTGGTGGGCGAGACGTCTTGAAAATAAAGACATCCAGGTGTTGCACACGTGTCACCAACCTGTCGATGCATCAGCTATTATTGCAATGATGTTATGAGCAGCTAGACCAGTGTTTTTCTAAGTGATGTTTACTGTCGTCTGTGTTTGTCTCGCCTCTCCAATATCCTCAACATTATCATTTATTTTATAAGTCTTAGCTGAGGAGTGACGACTAAACCAGTGACGAGATGTTGGAGCTCCGGTCGTCCCCCCTCACCACCAGGCTAAATAAATATATATATCCTCTAAGTTGAATAGGAGGGCTCATCCTTGACTGAATAAAGGGTTAGGCAAGCTGAAAGTTTTACCTCATGATGACCCACCATGAAAGTTCCCAGGGCGGATCAGCAAGTGAAGGATGAAACAATTCTATTTCCGGAAATCGCTCAGCGTTGTGTTCTAGGTCAATTGTAACACCTACACACTTCTGGCAAGACAGCTACTGAATAAATGATGGTGAATGTTTTTGTCTTTTTTCAGGGGAGGTAAAGGGTTATCCTACATAGGTTGGAGAGGCATAGACTTTATAGTCAGGTTACCTAAGCAGAGATACAAGACGATGCACAAACTCACTTTCTAGTATTGTATAATAAGATGGAGGACGCTGAAAGTGAAGACTTCGTGACAAACTCACACCAGACTGCAACACAGCCTCCAGAACCTCCTCATTTATAAGGTAATGTTGTCCGGCAGCGCTGGACGAATTGCCAGCTCTCACTTGCTTTCTACAGACGTACGTTGAGTCATGCACCAATGGTTTTTTGGCTCATATTCCCTCTGATTGGTACATATCATATTAAATTATAAAATCTAGATAGAATTCATTAATGTGATGCGTAATTACCGGTTCAAAATTCGGTGTCAGGCATACTTGGAAGACTTTAAATCCGTCCAATGGGTGGCTTTGTATTGTATGACATCACTGGTCTAAGTGAACATTGGGTAACCATTGGTCCTCACTCTCCATGACATCATCATTCTCAGCAGTGGTTGGTTCAGCTACAAGATGACGTCTAGCTTACCTTCCACGTATATAACAATTAATTTTATGTAAGTGAGGGATCGCCTAAGGGGACAGGGAAAGTAACCAGGCCCGTTCCAAGGAAAGGGAAAGCAGGTCTAATTCCTCGGATCAAAAGCCTTCACTCACCGGCGTCAAGGAATCTTCCTGGTGGAGGCTTCCACATGTACCTACGTCATCCCCTACATTTACATCCTAAGCCACAACCTATCGACAAGACTAATTAAGTACTTGAAGGCTTTTGCGGGAATAATTTAAGACATGCTTAATGGCAGCTTATTAGGGCAGGTTTCAGGTGTCAGTCCAGCCACTTAACTGACCCGGGTATGGAGAACTTAACCTGTGAAGAGTCCGGTTACTAAAGACGAGGTTACAAACAGACTTGGTACAGTTAAGCCATATATAATGACAGGGTGGCGACCAACTGATACTTAGTATCATGATGTTGCAAGATACTTGTGTGATATTCTGGTACTTCCCGGTGGTCGCTGGGTGCTGTTTGTGACCGTAGTGTGTGTGTGTGTGTGTGTGTGTGTGTGTGTGTGTGTGTGTGTGTGTGTGTGTGTGTGTGTGTGTGTTTGTGTGTATGGGACCGCAATACTTGTCTTGTTATGATTGCCTGTCTGCGATTACTTTATATATGTCTGTCATTAATGAAACTGCGGCTGGCCCAGATTCGATCCCGTGTCTCCTTGTCCAGCCCCGTGGGACGCCACACAACGTTCACGATTCTCTAACCAATACACCATCGACTCTACTGGTTAGAGCATCTTCAACGTTGTGTGGCTTCTCACTGGGATATATATATATATATATATATATATATATATATATATATATATATATATATATATATATATATATATATATATATATATATATATATATATATATATATATATATATATATATATAAACAAAGGCTATTAACAGTGAAGAGTTGAATAGATATTTCAATGTTATTAAGTTCAAACTTCAACTTTCGAATATATAAAACTCAACTCCAACAATCTAAGGTCATAATAAAGTTGGTAGAATTACCGACAATATGTAAAGTAAAAGGACACAAGTGCAACTAATGTGACATTTATTGTGGCAACGTTTCTCTCTCCAGGAGCTTTATCAAGCCATTACAAACAATACATGGACACAGAGGGTATATAAAGGCTCAGAGTGAGGTGAATACTAGTGAGGTACCATTTCGATGTCCAACCTATTTTTATGTTACCCAAGTAATAGCTTTTATATCCTTTTACTCATGTACGAATTAATTGCTTTTGTCACTACCACTACTACTACTACTACTACCACTAGTGAACATCGAAATGGTACCTCACTAGTATTCACCTCACTCTGAGCCTTTATATACCCTCTGTGTCCATGTATTGTTTGTAATGGCTTGATAAAGCTCCTGGAGAGCGAAACGTTGCCACAATAAATGTCACATTAGTTGCACTTGTGTCCTTTTACTTTACAATCTAAAGTCAAGAAAATTATAGCATTTATTCGAAATTTTAAAATTTCTGGAATTTAACGAGCGATTTAAAGCAAGTGAAAGTTCCCCAATTTCAGAGTGAGAAGGATGAGTTAGATGAAGAACTCAGTTCTATGAGACACATCTTCATGCTTGAACATTCTGACACGAAAGTTTCGTGATGAGTTACCAATATACCGCAACGAACACTTGGCATATTTATAATTATATTTAATATCCGAGCTAAAAGGTGCAGGGAGTCTGTCTTTAAATGTAAAAAAATAACCAATGGTTAGCGAGTTAGTAAAAGTCAACGAAAAGGAATTTTGATGATAAAGTTCAAACAATAATTCTGAGAGTTTCTTTCTGATGATGAAACATATTAATACCAAAGATGTCACACTCACATTAATACCAAAGATGTCACACTCACATTAATACCAAAGATGTCACACTCACATTAATACCAAAGATGTCACACTCACATTAATACCAAAGATGTCACACCCACATTAATACCAAAGATGTCACACCCACATTAATACCAAAGATGTCACACTCACATTAATACCAACGATGTCACACTCACATTAATACCAAAGATGTCACACCCACATTAATACCAACGATGTCACACTCACATTAATACCAACGATGTCACACCCACATTAATACCAACGATGTCACACTCACATTAATACCAACGATGTCACACCCACATTAATACCAACGATGTCACACCCACATTAATACCAACGATGTCACACTCACATTAATACCAACGATGTCACACTCACATTAATACCAACGATGTCACACCCACATTAATACCAACGATGTCACACCCACATTAAATACCAACGATGTCACACTCACATTAATACCAACGATGTCACACCCACATTAATACCAACGATGTCACACTCACATTAATACCAACGATGTCACACCCACATTAATACCAACGATGTCACACTCACATTAATACCAAAGATGTCACACCCACGTTAATACCAACGATGTCACACTCACATTAATACCAAAGATATCACACCCACATTAATACCAACGATGTCACACTCACATTAATACCAAAGATGTCACACCCACATTAATACCAACGATGTCACACTCACATTAATACCAAAGATGTCACACCCACATTAAAACCAACGATGTCACACTCACATTAATACCAACGATGTCACACTCACATTAATACCAAAGATGTCACACTCACATTAATACCAAAGATGTCACACCCACATTAATACCAACGATTTCACACTCACATTAATACCAACGATGTCACACTCACCTTAATACCAAAGATGTCACACTCACATTAATACCAAAGATGTCACACCCACATTAATACCAACGATGTCACACTCACATTAATACCAACGATGTCACACTCACATTAATACCAAAGATGTCACACCCACATTAATACCAAAGATGTCACACCCACATTAATACCAAAGTTGTCACACCCACATTAATACCAACGATGTCACACCCACATTAATACCAACGATGTCACACTCACATTAATACCAACGATGTCACACCCACATTAATACCAAAGATGTCACACTCACATTAATACCAAAGATGTCACACTCACATTAATACCAAAGATGTCACACCCACATTAATACCAACGATGTCACGCTCACATTAATACCAAAGATGTCACACCCACATTAATACCAACGATGTCACACTCACATTAATACCAACGATGTTACACTCACATTAATACCAAAGATGTCACACTCACATTAATACCAAAGATGTCACACCCACATTAATACCAACGATGTCACACTCACATTAGTACCAACGATGTCACACTCACATTAATACCAAAGATGTCACACACACATTAATACCAACGATGTCACACTCACATTAATACCAACGATGTCACACCCACATCAATACCAAAGATGTCACACCCACATTAATACCAACGATGTCACACCCACATTAATACCAAAGATGTCACACTCACATTAATACCAACGATGTCACGCTCACATTAATACCAACGATGTCACACCCACATTAATACCAACGATGTCACACCCACATTAATACCAACGATGTCACACCCACATTAATACCAAGATGTCAACCACATTAATACCAACGATGTCACACCCACATTAATCCAAAGATGTCACACCACATAAATACCACGATGTCACACCCACATTAATACAACGATGTCACACCACATTAATACCAACGATGTCACACCCACATTAATACCAACGATGTCACACTCACATTAATGCCAATGATGTCACACTCATATCAATACCATCGATGTCACACCCACATTAATACCAACGATGTTACACTCATATCAATAACAACGATGTCACATTCATATCAATACCAACGATGTCACACTCATATCAATACCAACGATGTCACACAAACATTAATACCAACGATGTCACACTCACATCAATACCAACAATCTAACACTCACATCAATACCAACAATCTCACTCACATAATACCAACGATGTACACTCAACAATACCACGATGTCACACCCACTAATACCAACGATGTCACACTCATATCAATACCAACGTTGTCACACTCACATTAATACCAACGATGTTACACTCATATCAATACCAACGATGTCACATTCATATCAATACCAACGTTGTCACACCCACATTACAACGTCAACGATGTCTCAACACTCCCCCATATCAATACCAACGATGTCACATTCATATCAATACCAACGATGTCACACTTATGTCAATACCAACGATGTCACATTCTTATCAATAACAACGATGTCACACTCATATCAATACCAACGATGCCACACCCACATTAATACCAACGTGTCACACTCACATCAATACCAACGATGTCACACTCATATCAATACCAACGATGTCACACCCACATTAATACCAACGATGTTACACTCATATCAATACCAACGATGTCACATTCATATCAATACCAACGATGTCACACTCATATCAATACCAACGATGTCACACCCACATTAATACCAACGATGTCACACTCACATCAATACCAACAATCTCACACTCACATCAATACCAACAATCTCACCCTCACATAAATACTAACGATGTCACACTCAAATCAATACCAACGGTGTCACACTCA